TAACAACTATATCCATAATAGCAAACACTATTATACGAGCAAAAGAAGTAACTGCATTAGTAAATCATCAAAAGAAACTGAATGAATTGCCTATATAATATCAAAAAACTCAAGAAACTTATAGTAAAAACAACAAATTATAAAGGGATAGTAACCAAAACATTAGAAGAAAAACCAAAAGTAATCACCAAAGAAAAAGAAATTTCAAACCAAATTAAAATCAAAACAGAAATATCACCAATACTTAAACAAAGCCTAAATTTAACAGTATCTCAAGCAACAGACCTATATGTATATTTAGAATTCAAAAAGAAATTCAACCAAGAAACCTTACCTATAAATAAGCTACTATATTTAGCAACAAAAGTAAGAGAATTTAATGAACTACAAGAATTCATTAAAAAAATATTAGATAAAGCACCATACTTATCTAAACAACAATTCCAAAAGAATTAATGAGCTACAGAGAAATTGGAAACGAAATATATATAAGAGCTTTCCAAGAATACTTTAACAAATATCCAAACCCACCATCAGACGAACATAAAATAAAACTTCAAGAAAAACTTAAAGAATTTGATCAACGAATCGAAGAATTCATAGAAGGAAATTTAATAACTAAAAAGAACCCCATACAAAAAACAAAACGAGTCTATAACCACAAGAAAAGAGAATATAGAAAACAAGTCTTCAACTATATTGAAGAAGAAGAAATAAATCTGGAAGACCTAACTGACAAAGAAATAACAATATATTTAGTATACTCACTAGTAACAGCAGACAAACCAAGAGTCAAATCAAGCTTGGAAACTATTTCAAGAAAATCATTCAATATTAGAAATTGGTTAAAACATACTCAGTGTACCTATCAAGGACAATTGTCAACTATATTACCTGAATAATGGCAGCAATAACAGAATTTGAACTACTAAAAAATTTAAAAAGGTTAATATCCATAATAATGAATCAATTGAAAAATACAGAGATTAGAGAAATCAATTAGAAAATGCATTCAAAGCATTAAGATTAGGAGACTTAATTATATTTGGAAGATACTCCGGAACATCTAAAAAAGGATATACATTAAGAGGAAGAAACTACGATTCAACAGGAGCAGATGTACATGAATGCAGATGGAGTACAGAAATAATGCAAACAGTATTTGCAATAATTAGAACAAAACTAAGAAAGAATGCATTAGA